AACGAGATTGAACTAGGTATTGAGATACCGACGATCAAATCTCGGGCAAGTAACATACCGATGACAAAGGGAACAACGTATGTTGTTATGCGGTCTGACCGATAAAGATCTTCGTAGAATATGTGGGAGCCAATATGAGCATCCAGGTTCCGCTATTGGTTATTGACCGGAAACATGTCTCGGTCATGTCTACATAGTTCTCGAACCCGTAGGGTCCGCACGCTTAACGTTACGATGACAGTTATATTATGAGGTTATATGTTTTGATGTACCAAAGGTTGTTCGGAGTCCCGGATGTGATCACGGACATGACGAGGAGTCTCGAAATGGTCGAGACATGAAGATTGATATATTGGATGCCTATGTTTGGATATCGGAAGTGTTCCGGGTGAAATCGGGATTTTACCAGAGTACCGGGAGGTTACCGGAACCCCTCCAACAACTTAATGGGCCTTAGTGGGCCTTGGTGGAAGAGAGGAGAGGAGGCCAGGGCAGGGCCGCACGCCCCCTCCCCCCTAGTCCGAATAGGACAAGGAGAGGGGGGCGGCGCCCCCCTTTCCTTCCTCCCCTCCACCTCTTCCCCCTCTCTCTCCTAGTCCAACATGGAAAAGGGGGAGTCCTATTCCCGGTAGGAGTAGGACTCCTCCGGCGCGCATCTCCCCTTGGCCGGCCGCACCCCCCTTGCTCCTTTATATACGGGGGCAGGGGGGCACCCCAAGGACACAACAATTGATCGTTTGATTTTTTTAGCCGTGTGTGGTGCCCCCTCCACCATAGTCCACCTCGATAATACTGTAGCGGTGCTTAGGCGAAGCCCTGCCGGTAGAACATCAACATCGTCACCACACCGTCATGCTGACGAAACTCTCCCTCAACACTCGGCTAGATCGGAGTTCGAGGGACGTCATCGGGCTGAATGTGTGCTGAACTCGGAGGTGTCGTACGTTCGGTACTTGATCGGTCGGATCGTGAAGACGTACGACTACATCAACCGCGTTGTGCTAACGCTTCCGCTTTCGGTCTACGAGGGTACATGGACAACACTCTCCCCTCTCGTTGCTATGCATCACCATGATCTTGCGTGTGCGTAGGAAATTTTTGAAATTACTACGTTCTCCAACAATTGCAAGCACCACAGCCCGCGAAGCCGTTCGGGCACACGACCTGAAACTGTAGCTGGACGCAACGTCTAGCGCGGGGTGAGGGGCCCCCTCTCCTCCCTCCCCGCCTCCACCGGGTCCTCTGGCCCCGGCTCCAGCTCCGGTCACCGGCCGACTCCGCGATGACTTCCTGCACCCAAAAGCGTCCTACGTCGTCTTCACTAGTGAGGCGGACGACAAGCACAGTTAGCGCCGGCGATCCCGCGAGGTGAACGTCATCGCCGTCGACACTCATCAGTTCATGCACTGGTCCAAGAAAGCCGGTCACATGGAGTTGGGATGACCACCTGACCATAATGCCCACGTCGGGCAGTTATGCCCTCGTCCTCGACCCCACTTTCATCTCCGAGAAGTGCACCTGCTGCTTCACGCGGGTGCTTATCGATGGCGACAGCAGCATCAACATCCTCTACCGTGACACCATGATCAAGCTGGGCCTCAAGGAGAAGCAACTATAGCCCAGTCGGACGACCTTCCATGGCATCGTGCTGGGCCTCTCCTGCTCCCCAATTGGAAAGGTCTGGCTGGACGTGCTGTTTGGCGACTCATGTGATTTCCGCGCCGAACCAATCTGGTTCGAAGTGGTGGACATGAGCAGTCCCTACCACGCACTCTTGGGCTGGCCTGCGCTGGCCAAATTCATGACAGTCCCCCATTACGCGTACTTTAAGCTGCATGCCCCAAGGGCATCATCACTAGGGCTGGACGTCCGAACGGGCTAATGGGCTCGGCTCGGAGCTCGCTCCAGCTCGGCCCGAGAGCTAAATAGGCCGAGCCGAGCCACGTGAAATGGCCCCGTTGGCCGACCGAGCCGAGCCTGTTTTGGCCCGGTCCAGCTCGGTGGCTCGTGCGAAGCCGAAGCCCAGGACGCGACGCAATCACGCAGCCCAGCAGAGGAGCGCAACCAGCCCAACCCAACGAGTCGCGTCGTCTCCACTGTCTCCTCCCGCTAGGGTTCGCCGCCGCCGCCGCCCCACGCTTCTCGCCAACCTATTTCCTACATGCCACCACGACGCATCCTGCCGCCGGCGTCGGCACGCACGAACGCATCCAGCGGCCGCAGCGCACGCACGCATCACCAGCCTGTTGATTGATTCTTGGACACAAGTACAAAACTTGAAGCACGTTGATTGAATCCTGGAGTTGGCTGGATGCACACGTACGAGAGGAAGCAAGATCAACTGCTACGGAGGCTAGCCACCTGGGTTCGACGCACCAGACGCCCGACCTCGCCACGCCGGCACGTCTCCGTCGTGCTCCCCTCAACGCCGTCAAGCCAGCCTCGCCTGATGCGCCCGTACGCCCACGCACCCAGCCTCCAGAGGCAAAACGAGCTGCTCGGGCTGGACCGAGCCATAGGCAAGACGAGCCGAGCCTCCAGATGCGGGCTCGTTCAACCAGCGAGCCGAGCCGAGCATGGCTCGTTCATGGCGAGCCAAATCCAGGCTCGGACCGAACTCGGCTCGGCTCGGCTCGTGTCCAGCCTTAATCATCACAGTAACCGGGGACTACAGAAAGTCGGTCGAGTGCGCGGAGGCCGGCTCCAAGTTGATCAAGTCCTTGGCATCACGGAGGAGAAGCGCCAGCTCGATCGGCTCCTAGCCTTGTCCCGCGAGCGGCCGGCCATGCCGGTCTCGCCCTCGTGCCCAAGATCGGCCGGCGGAGCGGTCGCCCGGTCACCTAAGGACCTGGCCCCAGCGGCTTCGGTCCCAGCCGGTCTTGGTCGGGGCTCCGCCCCCTCGACAACTACCTCGTCTGCACTGTGCATACTTGCGACAGCGACGTCGTCGGCACGGACCTCTGCTCCTGCATGGGCCAGCTAAGGGTCGGCACCCGCCCCGCGGAGCAGCCTCTGGCATGGCCAATGACGTCTCACAACAGCCGCATGCGAGTTGGCCGATCCAAGCGCGGACGTGGCCTGCCCCTGAAGCCAGGTCCGTCCCAAGCAGGCGTCTCGGTTCCCGCGTGTGTAGCAAGGCCCGTGGGGACCGGCGGACCCGCCCGCGACCCCGGTTGCCGGCGGCGGTCACCGCCTCAATGACCCGGCGCCGGGCCTCGCCGAGCAGGCAAAGTCAATTTGCGCCCCGCCCGGGGGCTACCCCCGCGACCCCATGCCCTTCGGCCAGCGCCGGCTACCGGCGACTCATGCAGCTACACCTCAGCCCGGGGGCCGGCGGGTCAGCCAAGGATGACATTTGGGACGAAGCGGCTGCTCAACCATCACCCGCAAAAAAAAGCAGCTGCTCAAGCAGGGGCGAATGTCACTCCTGAAGTTTTTTTTTTTTTTTGAGGAACCTGAAGTTGAGATATCTTTTTTTTTTCGAGACATCTGAACCTGAACCTGCACAGGACTGAAAGTGCAGCAGCGCAGTTGGGCCTCAGGCCATGTAACAGATCGATCGAGGGCCCAAGTGGGCAGGTGGCACTATGACACTGTAATCGGCATCGATGAGAAGAATTGAGAAACTCCCTCGCCATCGGGTCACCAGTCTGCTCGGCTCCTCCCAGCGATTCCCCGTGGTCCTTGCCGGCGGCGGCTCCTCCCAGCGGTTCCCCGTCGTCCTCGACGGCGGCCGCTAGGTCAGTCCTCTCTCTCTCTCTCTATCTCTCGCTCGCCCAATTTGCCCGGGCCGGCGATCTAGGGTTAGGGTTACCAGCTCGACGCCGCCGCCCCGCCATGATGCAGGTCAGGCTCTGCTGTTTGCCGCCGCCGGCCCCGCGTGCTCGGGCGCTACCTTCGCTCTGTCATGCCGCTGCTTCTCCTTCTCGCCGGCCCGTACCGCTGCTTTTCGTGGCCCTTTGTGTGCTCGTGCTACGGCTGCTTACTCTGCTCCTGTGTTGTGCAGGGACTGAGCGTCCTATGTCGTTCCTTCTGCCTGCCTGCTAGGACGAGCAGGGGATCGAATTGGCCACATGCCGTTCGCCGGAGCCATCGCCTCCTGCAGCATCCTGTTCCTCTTGCTCGTCCCCTGTGTCGAGGCCACGTCGGGGGGCCTCATGATCGAGCAGATCTTGTCCGACAAGGGGTGCGGTGCCTTCGCCGGCCTCGTCCTATCCTAGGAGCAGAGGAACTGAGGAACATCTAGCACATTAAACACCTTGCAGGGCACTCATGGAGGTGGCCAAATCACCAACTCCATTATTAACTTTCTGAACAATACTGGCTTTCCCATCAGCAAACAGTGGGGGAAACCACACAAGCTACCAAATGCATGCCAACATACGAGTACAGCTGAAAACAATTTCAATTATTCCTCGGGTGCTAATGCTTGCCCGGCAATCAGAAGATGCAGACAGATCGTGGATCGCACATGCTTACTCTGCATAAACCTCTGCTTCAAGTACCTAAGGCAAGCATTAGCGCAACGTCTACTCAGCTGATCTGAAGCAACGGATGCTACATTACATTTACAGGTAACTATATCATGACACCCACCAATTCATCTTTGAGATGCAGAACCCAACCAAAACATACTTAAATCAAACTTTTACATTAATAAGAAGTCAAATGTGTGCACAAACATTGCACTTATTACATGAATACAAATGATATTCGATACAGAGGAAAGCCATAAATTAAAATCCAAGCATAGATACAACCATTTATGCCCGTACAGAGTCCCAAGGCACTCATGTAGAGTAAACGGACAAACTTAGTTGTACAACAGAAAGAAATTAGCATACAAGCAGAACAGATTGCAATCCACACTAGCACACACAAACCACACTATGGGATCAAAGGAGAAGAGGCCCTTCGAGCATCGAACCTGTTTCTTCCCAGCAGAAAGAGAATCTTGCAGCATCGTCACCATCCTCTTGTTCGTCTCCTTTTGCTCAGTCTTAAAGTTTCTGGCCCACAAGTTTAAGGCTAAGCTTGTTTTTATGCTTTTTGATGCCCTCTCTCACCTCATCGGGGACCTGGCCACCGTTGAACTCGAGCTCCTTCAAGCTGGGAAGTTTGTGGATACCGGAGAGGGATGTGAAAGATGACCAGACAATCTTCTCGAGCCTAGGAGCAGATCCGCTGGTGAAGACAATCTTGGTGATGGCCGAGCAGTCAACAACAAGAAGGTTGAGCCATGAGAACTCATCTTTTAATGTAATCTCGTTCTGTAGTCCACCAAAAGACTTGTCCAAAAGCACCAGAAATCGCAGATTTGGTTTCTTTGCGAGTATTTGTAGAGCGTCTTGCTCTAGCAATGTACCACGAAGAGTCAGCTTGGTTATTTGTGCTGTACTGCCAAATGATGATAGCAACCTGCCACTGAAGCTGTTGTTCAACTCCAACTCTTTGAGTTTTGGAAGCGAGTCAACTCCAGAAATAAAACCTGTGCTGGTGAAAGACAAAACCATCTTCTCGAGCTCAGGGGCTGCTTCATCCTCAAAAGTGATAGTCAAGCCCGAGCCGTCAACAAGAAGGTACTTGAGGCATCTGAATTCACCCTCCTTGAAGCTGAGCATGGGCTCAGTGCTTGTAATATGTTGGAGCCTGACACACCGTAACTTGGGCAGCTTGGCAAGGACTTTTAAATCATCTTGGCTCAGCAGGGTGCTACTAAGAGTTACCTTCGCAAGTTTTTTGTTATCACCTTTCATGAACAATGGATTTAGACTGATTCCCCTGATGCTTAGACTCTCAAGCATCTTGGGTTGGTTTTCTAAGAGCGAGCCAATGCCATCTGGTAACTCTGCACTGGAAGGAGTACCCTCGGATTGTGTGGCTAACAGAACACTAGCAGTGATTGTCAGAGAACGGAGGGACTCATGGAGGTCACTGATTGTCTGAAGCAAATTCCTGAGGTGGCTATCCTTATCATCAATAACCACACCTAGCTTCCTCAGCTGCCATAGCTTTCCAATATCTTTTAAATCATGACTGTGCTTGGCCTGGACATTAGATAGGACCTCCATGTTTACCATTTTGCCGATCCTACGAGGAACCCGGCCACTAGAGCCAAACTTGCTTGCATTCAGATCAATGTGACCAGCAAGCAGACGCTTCAGCTTCAATAGCAGGATATTTGCTGTTGCATGTGGAGGCACATCGGTTTCTCGGATATCCAATACCTCTAACTCACGGAGGTTGTTGATTTCACTAGGTAGCTCGGTAATATCTGTTCTCCTGAGGCTTAGATACTTGAGAAGTAACATCTTGCTGCAGATGTCCTTGAGGTACTGCCGGTTCTTCCCAAAGCACTGACAACCTTCTAGATCGAGCACCTTGAGCAGGGATACTCGAGATGATTCAGAGAGCCCCTGGAAAAATTTATCAATTCTATCAGAGCCACGGAGCTGGAGATCGTTGAAAATGGAGAAGTGGCGAGCCAAGTGATGTGACAGCCGTGTCTCCACGATGTGTTGTTTTCTGGCGATGGTGGTAATGAATCCATGAAAAAGATCACCTACGACACAGCTCTTGACATTTCCTGAAGCACCAACATCAGCAGGTTCAACGAGGCACCGGTCAATGAGTGTGTCAAAACATCGGTTGGCCTGACGCACAGAACTGAGCCAATCTTCATTGGATGTCAGCCCTTCTGCAATCCACCGTCCAATCAAGGTTGACCGCCTGATCTTGTGTCCCATAGAGAAGATAGCTAGGTACAGTAGGCAGGACTTGTATTCTTTAGGCAGATCGTTGTAAGAGAACTTGAACATCACCTTAGTGATGCTGTTGAATGATTTTGGCAAAGCCTGCAAGGTGCTGTGCAGCTTGAGTAACTCCTCATTGCTCCTGTTGGGGTTAGCATACAAAGCATGAGTGAAGATCTTCATGCAGAATTCATGTGACTCACACTCGGACAAGATATCATGAAAAATTTGGGGGTTGTAGTTGTCTTTATTCTTCTGCTGGCTAGTAAGCTGGAGCACTGTATCATGGTAGAGGCCAGCAAGAGAATAGTCTATAGCTATAGGTTCCCGCTGTGGATAGCAATATTCTCTAGCCAGATGGACGTCATTTGTGTTGGTGACCATCATTAAATCGGCACTGCAGTTTAGCAGGCTCAAAGCATTTCTGGTACCCTCCCATGTGGCAATATCCATCAGCTCATCAACTCTGAGGATAAACAGGGGACATTCATAACAATGGCAGTCCGAAATATATTCCAAATTACGCTTAATCTCGTCCACGAGACCTTTGATCTTGAGCTGCTCTTTGAACTCCTGCTTTAATTTCTCCATCATCTGACCGAATTTTTCAACAACCGTTTCTGGGTTTTGATCCGGAACACTACCAGATTCAGCTGTCCCTTCACTCTTGTCATACTCGCCTTTCTGCAGCTCCTGTAAGGTGCCTTCCTTTGCATTCTGGATCATTGGTTTGATTTGATCCTCACCCAATTCAGCAGTTGTGGTCTTTGTAGCTTGCTTGTCCGCTGTTGTGGTCTTTGTAACTTGCTTGTCCGACCATCTGTCCTGAGCCTGCAGGGGCTTGCTGCTGGAGCAGCCCTTGGAGAACAGCTTCCACAGGATGTGTGCATATTGTGCCTCATCGAGGTGAATCCATGTCGTCTGCTGACTTCCGATTTCCCCTCCTCCTCCTCCGCCCCCCTCTTCCATATGCTCCTTAAGCTTCTTGACGATGATGTTATTGTTGCTGTTGTCCCATTCTGGTAACATTTGCATGTCATTGTTCTTCCCTTGGTCTTGTTGAGACGCAGCAACAGCTGCCTGGAGCAGCAGCTGAAGGAGTACGTCTAGGTGCAGCTGGTGAAACTCACCCTGCAGCTGTGGTAGTTTGTCGCCCCTCTGTAGTCGACCTTGAATATCACTTTTGATTTTGTCAAGCTTTTCATAAATCTTCATCTTTTTGATCTTCTCCTTGACTTTGAGAAGAGCAAGAGCCCTCTTCTTTTCACTGTGAATTTGATTGTAAATTTGGAATCTTCTTACATGAACTTCCAAAGGGTCAAGATACTTCTTCCCCACTCTGCCTTTTGTGCTTTGCCTGAGCTCGCGCAGAATGTAGAAGAGAACTTCCTTGGGTCGTAGCCGCGTAAACTTTGGGTGCACGGCCGGGATGTCAACCAACACAAAGCGATTGTAGCCGTTCTCCACTGGCAAAACCGAGGGATGAGAGTCGAGGTCTGAATCCGACGAAAAAACCAAATATTCTTGTATGAGAGCCAGAAGGTCCTGATAAGTGTTCGGTGCCACAAGGACCACGGACAAAGTCTCGCCGGCATCTGTAGGAGTTCCATCTACCCAATCACGTAGCTTTGCCTTGACGTAGTCATCCAAAGTGCGAGGCTCAATGAAGGCTCTTCGACCACCAGAATGACCGCCGGTTGTCATTGCCCCCATGAGTTGATCGTCACCCTCTTCTTCACCGTCATCGTCCCCAGCAGCATGACCACCTCGCACAGCAGTCCGTGCTGAAGGTGCCGCCCCTGCTAGCCCAGGTGCCGGAGGCGATTGCCCCTCCCCTGACTTGGCCGGGACCTCCACGCCATACCTCAACCTCCGCTCGCCGACGTCGCGCGCCCGCTCCTTTAGCCGCCGCAGCTGCTCGGCTGCGCGGTGCTTAGCGGCCAACTTGTGCAGTAACCAGCTTGCCCACCAGAGGTAGCCTCGGAGTCCGCCTCTGGCACGGTGGATATCGGGGTTCCCCCGGTAGAGGTAGAGGTCGATGCAGTTGTTGCAGTCCTGGGCGAGCAGCCGCACCTGGTTCATCCAGGTGCGCACTTGCTCGTCATGCTCCCCACCAGGAGGTGCCCACCTCGCCAGGTGCGTCAGGAAGCTCTTCATGCTCTCCATCTCTTCCTTGATAAACTGCACATCGTGCCGGACGCCACGCAGCAGTAGTGCCTCGCTGCGGATGACAACCAACAGTGAGCTCACGGCGCCCGCCGCGAGCTCAGCCATGGCTTCCCCTCCTTTCGCCGGCCAGGGTGCGTGGGTGGTGGTTTCTAGTTGAATTGGTCTAGCTGGGGGAGCAGGCTAACTGAGCTGGGTGGTGGCGACGATGCACCCATTCTTCTGCACATGTTCTCTTGCGCCATGCACTAATTTAATTATCTTGACTTGACGAAAGGTGCAGTGCAGAAAATAGTTTCCCACACCTAACTGGACGTCCCCTCACTATCCTGTACACACATCTTGGATCCAATGGCTGATGCAAATTGTTTGCACATACAACCTGGCAACATGAAACTGATGGCAAAGAAGATGCTTAGAGAAGAAGATCAAGGTCAAGGAAGAGTTTGTAGGAAGCTAGAATCTGAACTTTGTTTGTTATTCATGATTTTGATTCTATTTTGTTGGAAATTTATTCATGTTTATGATTTAGGATGTTGACCATTTCTTGATCAGAAAGACATATACAAAATGTTACTTCAGGTTGATTCATGGACCCATATGGGGTCAAATATATCCATGGAGTGTAGTTCTTGAACCAAAAATTCTGTGATCTGGTACAATGTTCGTGTTGCTAGTTGGAATATATGACCCAAAGTTCATGTTGCTAATTTTCTGACTTGGATGAAGTGCTAAATTTTGAAGACAATTATGTGATCTGATACAATGGGAAAGGAGATACAGGTTTTCTCAATGTTGCACATGGTTCAATTCATATACAAAATGAAGGTGTCTCATAAGAAAATTAACGTGTGCATGGATCTGAATTAGGAAGAAATTTGCTTCGTAGTACATGGGATACGAACCAAAAAGATTTCTTTGCTCTTCGTAAAAGACGTTTGTGTATGGATTGGAAACATGTGTACATACTTGAGAATCCACTGAGTTTGAGGCAGACTTTATCAAACTGGCAGGGGCTTCAAGACGAGAACTGTACAGAACAAAGGGGCTTTGCTGTAAAAGGATTGCACCAATCTCGATGAAATGAATGGCGTGGATAGGTCCTGGACGTCCAGTTGTAAACAAAGAAGGAAGACTTCCGAAGAGAGCAGGTAACATGTAATGATGCTGGACAATTTGTTAATTTGGCTTTGAGTTGGACTTTTTGTCATGATGTTGGGAGGCTAGCTGTCCACACGATGCTCATCAATTTTTTCTTTTGAGACGGAACATTGTAGCGTGCCCAGTGAAAAATTGATTTTGGTGAAAATCTGAAAACTTGTGTCTTGCTCTGTTGGATCTACAAGGAACGGCATCCACTCGAAGGTGAAGGTCCCACCAACAACCCATCATCCCTTGTAAAAAAAAGAAGGAAGACTTCCGAAGAGAGCAGGTAACATATCATGATGCCCGGCAATTTCTTAATTTGGCTTTGTCTGAGACTGTTTACTTGAGTTGGGAGGCTAGCTGTCAACATGATGCCCATCAATTTTCTTATTTTTGAAACCTGCTCTTCCAATTTGTTAATTTGGAGTTTAGCTGTCCACACATGCTCATCAAATTTCTTATTTTTGGAACTTGGCCTTCCAATTTGTTAACTGGGATGTGCTTCAGTACGCCCCATAAAAATGTTTACAAATATTGATGCAAATCAGTGGTGGAGATTAGAAGATACCTTTTCATTAGAAAATGTAGTTTAATCTGTTTTACCAAATTAAACCGCCAAGGAAAACTTAAAACTGGTGGGGCATTAATTATTGCAACACTGAATTTGCATAGCCCATTTGAAATTCACGAAAAACCAAGGTAACTGGTGACCAGGCTGTATAGGAGTAACTGTAATTAATGGCGATTAGGAAGCGTGGACCCGCATGTTGCTGTGGGGATTCCGCTGTAATCATGTATGCGCCGGCTGTGGGCAGCTTGCACAACCACTATTTGCAGGGAAGGAGATCCATGAGTGTCATGGTTAGTCAAGTGCCGGTAAGCTACCGAGGCAACAGGATCCAAAATGGGGGACGAGGGCGCTTGTAGAACTGGGAAAGATGGTTTGACGGAGCAGCTAGTTCACTATTGCAAGTCCCATCAGTCTCAAAGGAAATCCTTTTCAGGATGAGCCCAATGAATAGTAAATAGAGATAGGTATGGATTTGGATCGGGGTCTCCCTGTATAATTGGGCCTAAACATCCAATTATAGCCAACTAATATGTGGCTTATATCAATTAGCATCGATGATGAACGCAAGTGTTCGTACCTTAAGTTTTATAGGGTGGGTTTCATTGAGTACTTATGAATATGTTGGGATCTTTTATTTGACTGAATAAACTACCAGCCCCCCCATTGGTCTTAAAAATACTGGCAGTTGGTAATATGAAAGCAGCGTTTCATATTTATTCAATGTTGTTTTTGAAATAATATCTACTCAATTTGCCAATTATCTACTCCATTATGCAAGGATTGTCTCTGTTTGTCATGACTCGCGAGCCACTGTAATGGCTGATCGATCCCTCAATTAGTTTAAACCTTCCTGAAGGTGAGCTGTATGTCTACCTAAATAATTAAGCAAGTGTCATCGATTGTTTAATCGGACAGGGACGGACTGTGATAAGTACATTTAGAAATAAGTACCAAGACCTATTCACACCAGATGACACCTCACGCGATGCTGAGTGCAATGGAGTATTAATATTGATTAGTAATATGAGAACCAAAATAAAAATGTACTCCCTGCACTCACAAATATAAGTTCTGGATATTTCAATATGAACTACATACGGACTGAAATGAGTGAACACACACACTAAAATGTGACTATATCCATCCGAGTCACAAAAAAGTTAGAACATCTTGTATTTGTGAACGGAGGGAGTATATGTTTATGCTATTTGATTATCGTATAGTTGTGAAAATACTATTGAATATAAATGGGATAATAGAATGGAAAGTCTCTCCTATAGACGGTTGCATATTGTGGCTTTTTCCTATACATGGTTGCATGTTAATGTGACACATTTGTATGTCGAGAGAAATATGTTAATGTGGATCACAAATTAAATTATATAGGATTATCTCGACTTGACCTGACCAACGGTGTTGTCAAGGGTGTTCACACCCTGTGAGTAGTTATTTATCTCAAGGTTAACATTATTTTGTGCCAAGTTTTGTCAGTTTCGATTTCCATGTGCACATCTTCCTTCATTGTTTCAGCACTCAACTCTCCTTTACATATTAGCGTTAGATGGACGAAGTAGGTTAGCATTATAAATATTTGAATCGAACATGCATGCCACCATGCATAAAGTTGGTTGAGCAATGTACATTGTGTCTGTTTCCTCATCATCTCTGGCATTAGCATGTTAAATGCCCTTCTTAATATTTCTCTTATCCTCTTGAGGGTCACAAACTGAACCTTTTAGTTTTCTCTTACAACATGACACATACAGCGGGAAACTTTGATGATGAGTACTTGAAGGGGACTGAAGAATCAAATAAGTTTCATCAGGAATATAAAATGCCTAGAATGAAGCATATGTAAAATTTTGATTCACCAATGTAATCTTCAGTTTCATTTTGCGCCTCCACTGGATGTGAGAACTTCCGTTTAACCAGACCTGTTTTTGGCAATGATATTCTGCAGGATGAAGGTTTGGATGTTATTGGTGAAGGGCTCGCAACTCTGAAAAACATGGCATCGGATATGAATGAGGTTGCGTCTTGTACTTTCTTTCTAGTTATGCGATGATTATGTGTACTGTACTAAATTGTTGTGATCATCAGGAATTGGATAGGCATATTCTTGATCAGGCAAGTTCCCTTGATGGATGAAATGGATGACAAGGTCAGTTCTCTGGCCACCGTCATTTTTGATATTTCTTCTGACAGTTGTCTCAACAATGCTTAATGTCTGATAAAACGATAAATGCAGGTGGATAGAGCCAATGCAGATCTGAAGAATATACCAACGTGAGGCTAAAACAGACTATTCTTCAGGTTAAAGCTTAAGAGTCCTTTTACAGTACATCAAATTATTCCGAGCCTTTTATTTTTGTGATTAAATGGCCCAGATACGACAATACTGCACATGAATTCTTGTAGTATATTTGGGCGTCAAGGGCACTTTGGGCAGTTCTTAATCAACTTTTCATGTACTGGACGGCATAGTAATTACCCTGTTAGCACTCGACAAGAGCGTCAGTTCACAGCACTTGCTTGTCACTAATTCAGTAATTCTTCCAAGGTATGTCAATGTACTAGTATCAGAAAATAACCAGGGACATCTAAGTTTGCTGCTCCCCTAGTGTGATAGCAGAAAGAAAAACAAATCATCTATGCGCTGGTGTGGTGGGAGAGACAGTGTTAGCCCTGTCCCTATGGATGCAGCTGGCAGCGAACCACCGTGTGCCGTGGAGCCGACGAACGGTTTAGTCCAGGAGAGGGCGCTCACATAGCTGTGTGCCTTCTCTTGCGCCAAGGACATATAATTACCTTGACTTAACGGGCGGCGTGGGCATGTGCACACTGTCATTAACATTGGCTGGTTGCATTTGCTCTGAACAGTCTCAAGGTACCCGAGGTACATAAACTAGCTGCAGGTAACCCATCATCCATTGTAAAAAAGGAAGGAAGACGTCTGAAGAGAGCAGGTAACATGTCATGATGCCAGGCAAATTTATCTTTTTGGAGGACGGCAATTTGTTAATTTGGCTTTATCTGACTTGTTTTTTTAGAGAGAGAGAGAGCGTTGACTGGGACTTGGGAGTTGGGAGGCTAGCTGTCCACACGATGCTCATCAATTTTCTTGTTTTTGAAACCTGCTCTTCCAATTTGTTAATTTGGAAGTTAGCTGTCCACATGACGCTCATCAATGTTCTTATTTTTGAAACTTGCCCTTCCAATTAGTTAACTGGGATGTGCTTCGGTGTGCCCCATTAAACTGAACCTTTTGGTCCCCTCTTACCACATGACACATACAGATGGAAACTTTGATGACGAGTAATTTAAGGGGACTGAAGAATCAAATAAGTTTCAACAGGAATATGAGATTTGTAGAATGAAGCAGGTAAAAGTT